AGAGGTGAGTTTACTTAATTTAGCCATATGCCAGAACAGAATGAGCATTCTTGGGATATTGGTATACTCTTTTTGGATGTGTCTTAATCCAGGAAGTGTTTACTAGTTAACTGAGAATGCATGCTCTGGTGTGGCTTAACGGTATCATAATATTTTGATGTGTTTTTTAATTACAAGTCAGATTTGTTAATAACAACAGTGTCTCTGTCAGATATATTGATATCACTTTATCTGACAGAAAATTAGTTCCTTGAGAGAGAGCTTTTTTGCTTGTGTTAATTTGAAGTTAGCATGTGTTCTTCCGTTTCTTCAGGATAATGAAGAAACGGTGTTTGCAAAACTTTTTTTTTTTTTAAAGATACGCAAACACCCCTGCAACTAATACCAAAAGTCATAGCAGAAACAACTCTGCTTCTCACTGTAATGATAATTGGGTGGGGGATATTGGAGGGGGGGATGTTGGGGGAAGGAGGACAGCGTTTTGGAAGGAAAATTCATTTGTGTTTAAAACCGAGGTGTTGTTTCAGCTTGTGACTCTTATCCTCATCACCAAAGCTTTTTTTCAGTCTGTAGGTGAGATATTGATAAAGATAGTTAGGAAGTTTAAATCACGATCAGCAGTTCTTTGTGAGGAAAAGAATAGCAATGAAAATTAAAATTAAACAAGGTTTAAATAAAGTTAAAGAAGCCAGAAGTTAATACCTAAAATGAGATTAAAAAAAAATAATCTAGCGTAAGTCATTAATGACTGTATTTGCATGTTTTTTCAGTGATGAAGTCCCAGTCAGGCAGTTGGTTCACAGCTGGGACATCACCAGAAATCGGTACACTGGTTTGGACAAGTCCAAACCTATACTGTAACTTTTCCTTTAAACAGACCTGGAAAGGGATGTTTGTTCTCTCTCAGACACAAATAATTGCTTCCTCAAAAGGAGCATTGAGATGAGCAAGAGACATCATCCATATTTTTTTCTTTGTTTTTTCTTTTGTTTTTCTGTCTGTGTTTTCAGCAACGTCAATTGATTACAGTTCCTTTGCAGACAGATGCAACAGCTGGATAGAGCTCATTAAACTGAAAGCTCAGACCATAAGGCGCGGATCAATTAAGACAAGTAGGCGGCTGTTTCTACCACGTTATGATAATCTGAGACATATCTCTGATTTCCCAGTGGTGAATAGTGGAGTTTCCTGCCCAGCAATAGTATTGCAGATCACATGTAGAATGAATACCTGAGTGCGAAAACTGCCGACATTGTTAATGTCTTGTTAACTAATACAGGGTTTATGAACCAGTATCATGAAAAGCAAAATACAGTATTTCTGTTCACTTAGTAAAAATTAGTTACCAATGAATGTGTACGCCTACTAATTATATAACATACACTGCATGGATGTAGGTGTATGTATGATCTTGGAAAATTTTGGGTGAGAAACAGGAAGCAATCACCAAGGTGACAGTCAAGGCAATGGTCACTAAATTAGCAAGTGGTGAGTTATTTTTCAGTAGTTCTTTGGCCGCAGGTCTGACTATCTTGCTTAAATTAGCAGAGATTAATATCTGTTTTAATGGAAAATGCTGCACTGGGGAAACACAACAACTTTCACACTTCCTGTAATTTGTTCCTCCAGCAGAATACGTATTCCAAAATGTTGGCACTTTTTTCTTTACCTTCACTTTATAACTGATTGTTGTATGTGCAGCTACTCGCCTCAATGTTTTCCTTTGCAGGAATGGCACTCTTCTAAA